CAGATTCAGCTTCCTTCCTACCTCCTACAGCCGGAGTCCTCCATCCTCAGATTCAGCTTCCTTCCTACAGCCGGAGTCCTCCTCCCCCAGATTCAGCTTCCTCCCTACAGCCAGAGTCCTCCATCCCCAGATTCAGCTTCCTTCCTACAGCTGAAGTCCTCCATCCTCAGATTCAGCTTCCTTCCTACAGCCAGAGTCCTCCATCCTCAGATTCAGCTTCCTGCCTACAGCTGGAGTTACAGCCGGAGTCCTCCATCCTCAGATTCAGCTTCCTTCCTACAGCCGGAGTCCTCCATCCCCAGATTCAGCTTCCTCCCTACAGCCTGGAGTCCTCCATCTCAGATTCAGCTTCCTTCCTACAGCTGAGTCCTCCATCCTCAGATTCAGCTTCCTTCCTACAGCCAGAGTCCTCCATCCTCAGATTCAGCTTCCTTCCTACAGCTGAAGTCCTCCATCTCCAGATTCAGCTTCCTTCCTACAGCCAGAGTCCTCCATCCTCAGATTCAGCTTCCTTCCTCCACAGCTGGAGTCCTCCATCCCCAGATTCAGCTTCCTTCCTACAGCTGGAGTCCTCCATCCCCAGATTCAGCTTCCTTCCTACAGCCAGAGTCCTCCATCCCCAGATTCAGCTTCCTTCCCTACAGCTGGAGTCCTCCATCCCCAGATTCAGCTTCCTCCCTACAGCTGGAGTCCTCCATCCCCAGATTCAGCTTCCTTCCTACAGCTGGAGTCCTCCATCCCCAGATTCAGCTTCCTTCCTACACAGCTCCATCCCAGATTCAGCTTCCTCCTACAGCCAGTCCCCCAGATTCAGCTTCCTTCCTACAGCTGGAGTCCTCCATCCCCAGATTCAGCTTTCCTTCCTACAGCCGGAGTCCTCCGCTTCCCCCAGATTCAGCTTCAGATTCAGCTTCCTCCCTACAGCCGGAGTCCTCCATCCCCAGATTCAGCTTCCTTCCTACAGCCTACAGAGTCCTCCATCCTCAGATTCAGCTTCCTTCCTACAGCCGGAGTCCTCCATCCCCAGATTCAGCTTCCTTCCTACAGCCAGAGTCCTCCATCCTCAGATTCAGCTTCCTTCCTACAGCTGGAGTCCTCCTCCATCCCAGATTCAGCTTCCTTCCTACAGCCAGAGTCCTCCATCCTCAGATTCAGCTTCCTTCCTACAGCCAGAGTCCTCCATCCTCCCAGATTCAGCTTCCTGCCTACAGCCAGAGTCCTCCATCCCCCAGATTCAGCTTCCTCCCTACAGCCGGAGTCCTCCATCCCAGATTCAGCCCGGAGTCCTTACAGCCGTCCCCATCCCCAGATTCAGCTTCCTTCCTACAGCCGGAGTCCTCCATCCCCAGATTCAGCTTCCTTCCTACAGCCGGAGTCCTCCATCCCCAGATTCAGCTTCCTTCCTACAGCTGGAGTCCACCATCCTCAGATTCAGCTTCCTTCCTACAGCCGGAGTCCTCCATCCCCAGATTCAGCTTCCTCCCTACAGCTGAAGTCCTCCATCCTCAGATTCAGCTTCCTTCCTACAGCTGAAGTCCTCCATCCCCAGATTCAGCTTCCTTCCTACAGCCAGAGTCCTCCATCCTCAGATTTAGCTTCCTGCCTACAGCTGGGGTCCTCCATCCCCAGATTCAGCTTCCTTCCTACAGCCAGAGTCCTCCATCCCCAGATTCAGCTTCCTTCCTACAGCTGGAGTCCTCCATCCCCAGATTCTGCTTCCTTCTACCAGCCAGAGTCCTCCATCCCCAGATTCAGCTTCCTCCCTACAGCTGGAGTCCTCCATCCCCAGATTCAGCTTCCTCCCTGCAGCTGGAGTCCTCCATCCCCAGATTCAGCTTCCTTCCTACAGCCAGAGTCCTCCATCCCCAGATTCAGCTTCCTTCCTACAGCTGGAGTCCTCCATCCCCAGATTCTGCTTCCTTCCACCAGCCAGAGTCCTCCATCCCCAGATTCAGCTTCCTTCCTACAGCTGGAGTCCTCCATCCTCAGATTCAGCTTCCTTCCTACAGCCAGAGTCCTCCATCCTCAGATTCAGCTTCCTCCCTACAGCTGGAGTCCTCCATCCCCAGATTCAGCTTCCTTCCACCAGCCAGAGTCCTCCATCCCCAGATTCAGCTTCCTTCCTACAGCTGGAGTCCTCCATCCCCAGATTCAGCTTCCTTCCTACAGCTGGAGTCACCCATTGCAACATCACCAATCATGAGATCACCCATCATAGCACAGGGGGTGAGGAAGGGTTAATGGAGGCTGGGGTAGTCACACATTGTACAGGGGGTGAGGAAGGGTTAATGGAGGCTGGGGTAGTCACACATTGTACAGGGGGTGAGGAAAGGGTTAATGGAGGCTGGGGTAGTCGCACATTGCACAGGGGGTGAGGAAGGGTTAATGGAGGCTGGGGTAGTGACACATTGCACAGGGGGTGAGGAAGGGTTAATGGAGGCTGGGGTAGTGACACATTGCACAGGGGGTGAGGAAGGGTTAATGGAGGCTGGGGGGTAGTCACACATTGTACAGAGGGTGAGGAAGGGTTAATGGAGGCTGGGGTAGTCACACATTGTACAGGGGGTGAGGAAGGGTTAATGGAGGCTGGGGTAGTGACACATTGCACAGGGGGTGAGGAAGGGTTAATGGAGGCTGGGGTAGTGACACATTGCACAGGGGGTGAGGAAGGGTTAATGGAGGCTGGGGTAGTCACACATTGTACAGGGGGTGAGGAAGGGTTAATGGAGGCTGGGGTAGTCACACATTGTACAGGGGGTGAGGAAGGGTTAATGGAGGCTGGGGTAGTGACACATTGCACAGGGGGTGAGGAAGGGTTAATGGAGGCTGGGGTAGTCACACATTGTACAGGGGGTGAGGAAGGGTTAATGGAGGCTGGGGTAGTCACACATTGTACAGGGGGCGAGGAGGGGTTAATGGAGGCTGGGGTAGTCACACATTGTACAGGGGGTGAGGAAGGGTTAATGGAGGCTGGGGTAGTCACACATTGTACAGGGGGTGAGGAAGGGTTAATGGAGGCTGGGGTAGTCACACATTGTACAGAGGGTGAGGAAGGGTTAATGGAGGCTGGGGTAGTGACACATTGTACAGGGGGTGAGGAAGGGTTAATGGAGGCTGGGGTAGTCACACATTACACAGGGGGTGAGGAAGGGTTAATGGAGGCTGGGGTAGTGACACATTGTACAGAGGGTGAGGAAGGGTTAATGGAGGCTGGGGTAGTCACACATTGTACAGAGGGTGAGGAAGGGTTAATGGAGGCTGGGGTAGTCACACATTGTACAGAGGGTGAGGAAGGGTTAATGGAGGCTGGGGTAGTCACACATTACACAGGGGGTGAGGAAGGGTTAATGGAGGCTGGGGTAGTCACACATTGTACAGGGGGTGAGGAAAGGGTTAATGGAGGCTGGGGTAGTGACACATTGCACAGGGGGTGAGGAAGGGTTAATGGAGGCTGGGGTAGTCACACATTACACAGGGGGTGAGGAAGGGTTAATGGAGGCTGGGGTAGTCACACATTGCACAGGGGGTGAGGAAGGGTTAATGGAGGCTGGGGTAGTCACACATTACACAGGGGGTGAGGAAGGGTTAATGGAGGCTGGGGTAGTCACACATTGTACAGGGGGTGAGGAAAGGGTTAATGGAGGCTGGGGTAGTCACACATTACACAGGGGGTGAGGAAGGGTTAATGGAGGCTGGGGTAGTCACACATTGTACAGGGGGTGAGGAAAGGGTTAATGGAGGCTGGGGTAGTCACACATTACACAGGGGGTGAGGAAGGGTTAATGGAGGCTGGGGTAGTCACACATTACACAGGGGGTGAGGAAAGGGTTAATGGAGGCTGGGGTAGTCACACATTACACAGGGGGTGAGGAAGGGTTAATGGAGGCTGGGGTAGTCACACATTGTACAGGGGGTGAGGAAAGGGTTAATGGAGGCTGGGGTAGTCACACATTACACAGGGGGTGAGGAGGGGTTAATGGAGGCTGGGGTAGTCACACATTGTACAGAGGGTGAGGAAGGGTTAATGGAGGCTGGGGTAGTCACACATTACACAGGGGATGAGGAAGGGTTAATGGAGGCTGGGGTAGTCACACATTGTACAGGGGGTGAGGAAGGGTTAATGGAGGCTGGGGTAGTCACACATTGTACAGGGGGTGAGGAAGGGTTAATGGAGGCTGGAGTAGTCACACATTGTACAGGGGGTGAGGAAGGGTTAATGGAGGCTGGGGTAGTGACACATTGCACAGGGGGTGAGGAAGGGTTAATGGAGGCTGGGGTAGTCACACATTGTACAGGGGGCGAGGAGGGGTTAATGGAGGCTGGGGTAGTCACACATTGTACAGGGGGTGAGGAAGGGTTAATGGAGGCTGGGGTAGTCACACATTTACAGGGGGTGAGGAAGGGTTAATGGAGGCTGGGGTAGTCACACATTGTACAGGGGGTGAGGAAAGGGTTAATGGAGGCTGGGGTAGTCACACATTGTACAGGGGGTGAGGAAGGGTTAATGGAGGCTGGGGTAGTCACACATTGTACAGAGGGTGAGGAAGGGTTAATGGAGGCTGGGGTAGTCACACATTGTACAGAGGGTGAGGAAGGGTTAATGGAGGCTAGCATACAGTCCGGGGAGGCTCTGTAGGGTGATGAATAAAGGGTTAAGTGAGGCCGGGTCAGTTGGGTGGCCAGTGTTGGCCTCCCATGGCCTCCACTAGGAGAGGTGAGAAGTGCCTCCATGGTGTTGCTGGCTGGTGAATGTGTGAGCTGAGGGGGGGGCAGATGGAGGTGGAGGAGATTCACTCCCTATTGGCTGCCACTATTTGACAGGCACCCCCCCCTCCTCCCGGAGGCAGCCTGCTCTGTGAATGTGAGAAAATGGGTTTAAAGTGGAGAAGGATTTGCTGGTGTGTGTATCGTGCTGATAGAGCGAGCGCCGGAGCCGAGCGAACGTCTGGTGTGTGTATCGTGCAGATAGAGCGAGCGCCCGAGCCGAGCGATCGCTTCCAATGGCACACACTGCGTCCGCTGCCTGCATTCTGTGTATCGGCTTCTCCATGGTCTCCTGTGTGCCCACCACCAGCAGCGAAGGTAAGACACACTTCCTACATTCTGGATTGTACCCGGGGTCTACGTTCTCCCCCAGATTGTACCCGGGGGTCTACGTTCTCCTCCAGATTGTACCCGGGGTCTACGTTCTCCTCCAGATTGTACCCGGGGGTCTACGTTCTCCTCCAGATTGTACCCGGGGGTCTACGTTCTCCTCCAGATTGTACCCGGGGTCTACGTTCTCCTCCAGATTGTACCCGGGGTCTACGTTCTCCTCCAGATTGTACCCGGGGTCTACGTTCTCCTCCAGATTGTACCCGGGGTCTACGTTCTCCTCCAGATTGTACCCGGGGTCTACGTTCTCCCCCAGATTGTACCCGGGGGTCTACGTTCTCCAGATTGTACCCGGGGGTCAACGTTCTCCTCCAGATTGTACCCGGGGTCTACGTTCTCCTCCAGATTGTACCTGGGGGTCTACGTTCTCCTCCAGATTGTACCTGGGGGTCTACGTTCCCCTCCAGATTGTACCCGAGGTCAACGTTCTCCTCCAGATTGTACCGGGGGTCTACGTTCTCCTCCAGATTGTACCCGGAGGTCTACGTTCTCCTCCAGATTGTACCCGGGGTCTACATTCTCCTCCAGATTGTACCCGGGGGTCTACGTTCTCCTCCAGATTGTACCCGGGAGTCTACGTTCTCCTCCAGCCAGATTGTACCCGGGGTCAACGATCTCCTCCAGATTATACCCGGGGTCTACGTTCTCCTCCAGATTGTACCCGGGGGTCTACGATCTCCTCCAGATTATACCGGGGGGTCTACGTTCTCCTCCAGATTGTACCCGGGGGTCTACGTTCTCCTTCAGATTGTACCCGGGGGTCTACGTTCTCCTCCAGATTGTACCCGGGGGTCTACGATCTCCTCCAGATTATACCCGGGGTCTACGATCTCCTCCAGATTATACCGGGGGGTCTACGTTCTCCTCCAGATTGTACCCGGGGGTCTACGTTCTCCTTCAGATTGTACCCGGGGGGTCTACGTTCTCCTCCAGATTGTACCCGGGGTCAACGATCTCCTCCAGATTATACCCGGGGTCTACGTTCTCCTCCAGATTGTACCCGGGGGTCTACGATCTCCTCCAGATTATACCGGGGGGTCTACGTTCTCCTGCAGATTGTACCGGGGGTCTACGTTCTCCTTCAGATTGTACCCGGGGGGTCTACGTTCTCCTCCAGATTGTACCTGGGGTCTACCTTCTCCGCCAGATTGTACCCGGAGTCTACGTTCTCCTCCAGATTGTTCCCGGAGTCTACGTTCTCCTCCAGATTGTACCTGGGGTCTACCTTCTCCTCCAGATTGTACCCGGGGTCTACGTTCCCCTCCAGATTGTACCCAGGGGTCTGCCTTCTCCTCCAGATTGTACCCGTGGTCTACGTTCTCCTCCAGATTGTACCCGGGGTCTACGTTCTCCTCCAGATTGTACCCGGGGTCTACGTTCTCCTCCAGATTGTACCTGGGTGTCTACGCTCTCCTCCAGATTGTACCCGGGGTCTACATTCTCCTCCAGATTGTACCCGGGGTCTATGATCTCCTCCAGATTGTACCCGGGGTCAACGTTCTCCTTCAGATTGTACCTGGGGGTCTACGTTCTCCTCCAGATTGTACCCGGGGTCTACGTTCTCCTGCAGATTGTACCCGGGGTCAACGTTCTCCTCCAGATTGTACCCGGGGTCTACGTTCTCCTCCAGATTGTACGGGGGTCTAGGTTCTCCTCTATATTGTACCCGGGGGTCTACGTTCTCCTCCAGATTGTACGAGGGTCTACGTTCTCCTCCAGATTGTACCCGGGGGGTCTAGATTCTTCTCCAGATTGTACCAAGGGTCTATGTTCTCCTCCAGATTGTACCCGGGGTCAACGTTCTCCTCCAGATTGTACCCGGGGTCTACGTTCTCCTCCAGATTGTACCCGGGGGTCTACATTCTCCTCCAGATTGTACGGGGGTCTAGGTTCTCCTCTATATTGTACCCGGAGTCTACGTTCTCCTCTAGATTGTACCCGGGGGTCTATGTTCTCCACCAGATTGTACCCGGGGGTCTATGTTCTCCTCCAGATTGTACCCGGGGTCAACGTTCTCCTCCAGATTGTACCCGGGGTCTACGTTCTCCTCCAGATTGTACGAGGGTCTATGTTCTCCTATAGATTGTTTGAGGGTCTATGTTCTCCTCTAGATTGTACGAGGGTCTACGTTTTCCTCTAGATTGTACGAGGGTCTATGATGCCACTAGATTGTACGAGGGTCTACGTTCTCCTATAGATTGTACCCGGGTCAACGTTCTCCTCCAGATTGTACGAGGGTCTACATTCTCCTCTAGATTGTACGAGGGTCTACGTTCTCCTATAGATTGTACGAGTGTCTACCTTTTCCTCTAGATTGTACGAGGGTCTACGTTCTCCTCTAGATTGCACGGGGGTCTTTGTTCTCCTCTAGATTGTACCAGGGTCTACATTCTCCTCTAGATTGTACCAGGGTCTACGTTCTCCTATAGATTGTACGAGGGTCTACATTCTCCTCTAGATTGTACGAGGGTCTACATTCTCCTCTAGATTGTACGAGTGTCTATGTTCTCCTCTAGATTGTACGAGGGTCTACGTTCTCCTCTAGATTGTACGGGGGTCTATGTTCTCCTCTAGATTGTACGAGGGTCTACGTTCTCCTCTAGATTGTACGAGGGTCTACGTTCTCCTCTAGATTGTACGAGGGTCTACGTTCTCCTCTAGATTGTACGAGGGTCTATGTTCTCCTCTAGATTGTATGAGGGTCTACATTCTCTTCAAGTTTGAATGAGGGTCTACGTCTCCACTAGATTGTACGAGAGTCTATGATGCCACTAGATTGTACGAGAGTCTTCATCTCCTCTAGATTGTACGAGAGTCTCCGTTCTCTTCCAGGTTGCACTGAGTCTACTTTCTCTGATAGATTGAGTTTACGTTCCTCACTAGATTGCACCACTCACTAGCACCAGATCACTTCCTCCCCTAGATTGTATGGATCCTCTTTTCCTTATAAATTGTACCAAGAATAGAAATTCTTTTCTGGATTTAAGAGTCTACATCTTCTAGATTGTATGGGGAGTCAGTCTTCTCCAGATTGTGTGTGGAGTCAGTCTTTTCCAGATTGTATGGGGAGTCAGTCTTCTCCAGATTGTATGGGGAGTCCAATCTTCTCCAGATTGTATGTGGAGTCAGTCTTCTCCAGATTGTATGGGGAGTCAGTCTTCTCTAGATTGTATGGGGAGTCAGTCTTCTCCAGATTGTATGGGGAGTCAATCTTCTCCAGATTGTATGTGGAGTCAGTCTTCTCCAGATTGTATGGGGAGTCAGTCTTCTCTAGATTGTATGGGGAGTCAGTCTTCTCCAGATTGTGTGTGGAGTCAGTCTTTTCCAGATTGTATGGGGAGTCAGTCTTCTCCAGATTGTATGGGGAGTCAATCTTCTCCAGATTGTATGGGGAGTCAGTCTTCTCCAGATTGTATGGGGAGTCAATCGTCTCCAGATTGTATGTGGAGTCAGTCTTCTCCAGATTGTATGGGGAGTCAGTCTTCTCCAGATTGTATGGGGAGTCAGTCTTCTCCAGATTGTATGTGGAGTCAGTCTTCTCCAGATTGTATGTGGAGTCAGTCTTCTCCAGATTGTATGGAGAGTCAGTCCTCTCCTGATTGTATGTGGAGTCAGTCTTCTCCAGATTGTATGGGGAGTCAGTCTTCTCCTGATTGTATGGGGAGTCAGTCTTCTCCAGATTGTATGGGGAGTCAGTCTTCTCCAGATTGTATGGGGAGTCAGTCTTCTCCAGATTGTATGGGGAGTCAGTCTTCTCCAGATTGTATGGGGAGTCAATCTTCTCCAGATTGTATGGGGAGTCAGTCTTCTCCAGATTGTATGGGGAGTCATTCTTCTCCAGATTGTATGAGGAGTCAATCTTCTCCAGATTGTGTGTGGAGTCAGTCTTCTCCAGATTGTATGGGGAGTCAGTCTTCTCCAGATTGTATGGGGAGTCAATCTTCTCCAGATTGTATGGGGAGTCAGTCTTCTTCAGATTGTATGGGGAGTCAGTCTTCTCCATATTGTATGGGGAGTCAGTCTTCTCCAGATTGTATGTGGAGTCAGTCTTCTCCAGATTGTATGGAGAGTCAGTCCTCTCCTGATTGTATGTGGAGTCAGTCTTCTCCAGATTGTATGGGGAGCCAGTCTTCTCCAGATTGTATGTGGAGTCAGTCTTCTCCAGATTGTATGGGGAGTCGGTCTTCTCCAGACTGTATGTGGAGTCAGTCTTCTCCAGATTGTATGGGGAGTTAATCTTCTGCAGATTGTATGTGGAGTCAGTCTTCTCCAGATTGTATGGGGAGTCAGTCTTCTCCAGATTGTATGAGGAGTCAATCTTCTCCAGATTGTGTGTGGAGTCAGTCTTCTCCAGATTGTATGGGGAGTCAGTCTTCTCCAGATTGTATGGGGAGTCAATCTTCTCCAGATTGTATGGGGAGTCAGTCTTCTCCAGATTGTATGGGGAGTCAGTCTTCTCCAGATTGTATGAGGAGTCAATCTTCTCCAGATTGTGTGTGGAGTCAGTCTTCTCCAGATTGTATGGGGAGTCAGTCTTCTCCAGATTGTATGGGGAGTCAATCTTCTCCAGATTGTATGGGGAGTCAGTCTTCTTCAGATTGTATGGGGAGTCAGTCTTCTCCATATTGTATGGGGAGTCAGTCTTCTCCAGATTGTATGGGGAGTCGGTCTTCTCCAGACTGTATGTGGAGTCAGTCTTCTCCAGATTGTATGGGGAGTTAATCTTCTCCAGATTGTATGTGGAGTCAGTCTTCTCCAGATTGTATGTGGAGTCAGTCTTCTCCAGATTGTATGAAGAGTCAGTCTTCTCCAGATTGTATGGGGAGTCTACGTTCTCCTCCAGATTGTATGGGGAGTCTACGTTCCCCTCCAGATTGTATGGGGAGTCTACGTTCCCCTCCAGATTGTATGGGGAGTCTACGTTCCCC